CACTGCCACGGGTAAACAATGCTTCTTGACCCATGCCACTGCTCCCCTAATCCCAAACAATAACTAAAAACTGCAGAGTCACAAGTGTTATTTTAGGTAGATAGTCTACATTTTTATGTTAATATCTTATATGACATACCTCGTAGAGTAGATTATCACATTAAGTGCCTCACACTTCACTCTCACACAACAAAGAGAAGTTAGAAAAATAAAAAATAAATAAATAAAAAAGACGGACAGGGGAGACGCACTTCACTCAACGGGGCCCGGAATGGTTCTGGAGCAAGATGGCTGACTGAGCAACGCTCAGAAAAAGCGGAATCTCCCTCCTCCGTACAGCGTTGCCACTTCTGACGTTCAGAGATAAATGGTCTTCGGGCCCTCCTAATCACAGGGCTCTCCTATTGGCCCTTTTGTTTCCACCCCCATGGACCAATCAGGCCTAGAGGTTAACAGCAGGTAGACGGAGGAGGAAATGGAAAGAATAACCGATTGTGAACAGCTGCCTTTTCCATGCACACAAGGGCTTTGAGCTATTCACAAGAAACCATTTATCATACACACAGTAGGAAGGATTACAGTATTATATTTTTGGGAAACGTTTACTTGAAAATCTTTCTAAGACCAGTAAACTGAATTACCTATGGCCGGCCAGAAATTTCATATCACTTATAACTGGCATTAAAATTGTATTCCCTGGCTGTAAGCATATAACTAACTTATACAAGGTTATTTTAAAATAAAAATAATGAAATTTTACAAGGGAATAAATTTATCAGCAAACCAGAAAAGCATAAGTAAACTATCAGCTATCAATAAATATACTATGTCAGATATGTTATCAAATAATGCTCATGATCAATAATATAATCAAAAGAAGAAGGTTGTAGGACTCAATAGAAATATTTTGTAAAAACATCCTTGATAATTTTGAATATATTCAATAAAGTTCAAATCATACAATCAGCAAATGAAAAGCTTGATGTTAAAGAGATCAATTTTTGTTTTAATATTAAGACAAAAAATAGATAAACTCAAATGGCAATACAAAGATTATTTAAATGCTATTGAATAGTCAATAAGATAATAGTCAGGGGCTAATTTCACCATGAGCCTTAACCAACTTATAATTACTGCCTGACAATATGCTTATCTTTTAAATAGATTGGTATAAGACAATTAGCAATCAAAAGAGAAAACTTTCTAGAAACTTATAGCTGTTGCTGTTACTGGTACTGTTATACCGGAGAATATAATTAAAAAGAGAATACAAAAAAAAAAGAGGTAGTGGCAAGGTAGCAGGCCGACCTTTTTTCCCGGCTAGGTAAGGCACAAGCTCAATTGCCGAGAGTGATTTGCAAGATCAGCATGGACATATCCCCGGTCGCCTGCCCTTGATGAGCTCTTTTTGCCGAGGAGCCATTGTCTTGAGTCAGTGGACAACCGTTACACTGTGACATCTTGTTCCGCTATCCCTCATCAGCCATCAGGCATACTATGCTTCCTTCAATTTGTTTCTAATTATCAGCCTTAATATATTTGTTAGATTAATCACAGATACAAAAAGTAGCTGCATGATTAATTCAACGATTAAACATTAAGGTTAAATAAATTAATATAATAATAATAATAATAAACAATTCTTTAAAAAAACAATAATTACATCACATATAAAATTGAGATCATTTAAAAAATCCAGGTAATTAAATATTTATAATTTAGAGCTGAATATTAAAACACACTAAAATTCTCACTAATTTGATGAAACTATGGCATTTATTAATTAACTGAATTAATTCAAAATGATACGGCCACGTTTCTGTTGGTGGATATATATTTATTTTTTTAAAAACAAGATTTATAAAAATAAAGATTAAATAAAAGCATGATTACATATCTCATTTTTAAACTATGCTTAAATAACAGCTTGAATTGGATTAGTTGAAAAAAAAGATTTAAAAGTAAAAGTCTATTTATTTAAATATTTCAAGTAATGAAAAAAAAAATACTTAAAATAACATTGTGTGGAAAAATGTATTATTTCTCAATAAAAAAAATAAAATAAAATAACATTAATAATATTTGGAATATATAATTTTTTTAGCAACGCTAGAAGAAATTGAAAAATATTACTTATATCAATGCATAATTCACTGAAATGTTTGGCTTTCAAGAATTTATGTTTAATATTTATGAGATATCATTATCCAATACAAGTTTAACAAAACATTAAATTACAAAAAAAAAGAAAAATAGTGAATTTCATGCGACAATCACAGATTGAAGTTGTAGTGCTATAAAAAATGAGCCTAATTTATAAGAGCAAGGTTATGAATAAGTTTAATTATATCAATGTCACAGATGGAGTTTGCCCCCTGGGGAATGGAGGGAGAAGGCTTCAACCATTCTGGCTGTAGGGTTTCCCTACCCTCAGCCCCTGGAAAATTTCTGCCCAGTCATGATCATCAGAAGGAGGGTAGGGGCCCTTATAATTAATGGTTGCACGGTTCTACCCCTCTGCTGGTCGTGGCCGTATCGATTGCTCTTGGCACCCGCCTAAACCGTGGTTCCTATGCCCTTGACGACTTCCACTCTCCTGCAACCCTGGCTCTTGTTGCCCAATTTCACAGCATCATTGAGTAAATTGTCAAAGAATATTAGTTATTTGACTGAATGGCAGGACTACAGAATGAAAAAACAAATAATAATTACTATCTAGAGCTAAGATTTTATTTTCCACTATTAAAAGAATATCCTTGCAGCAATAGAAGAGAGTCTGACTCTAAAAAATATTCAATTAACTCCAGTTGATATAAAAAAACCTTGATTATTAATAAAAAAAAGGTTTCTCTACTTAATTTTTTCATAATACTTACTACGAACTATATTAAAATTTAGAATGAACTAGGATGTATTATATAGAATGAATATGTTATAAATTCATAATGAAATTATTATGACTTATAGGAGTCGACGTATCTATAAATGTCAAATTGAAGAAGTGATTATTAATATAAGATTAATATTTGAATTAAACAACAAAGTAAACAGAAATTTGAACAATCCATAGGTACGATTAAATATAAAAAAAAGATACATATATTTAGTAAAAAAATCAATGAATCCCAAAGTAAAATTAGTCAAAAACATACATAATACAATTATATATATATGTTTTAGAATATAGAGGAGATATGAGTAGAAAAAAGTGAAAGAGAAGAAAAAATAAAAGAGTGGGTAAGATAGAGATACATCAGAGAAGAGAGACCATTTTTTTTTTTTGACGTGGTCGGTAAAGTCTAAGGGCAAGGGGGCGTGTTGACATGGGTTTCCTATCATTATCAGATCAAGGAGATCAAAGAAAGGCTTCAACTCAGCCGCTGTGTAATTTTCCATGCCGCCTCTTTTTCTTACACATGCATGCAAAGATCAATGCTTCAGTCATGCTTTTCTTTGAAATAAAACTTCATATACTAATATAACCCTATATGAACTGTATATGGTATTAATGAATAATATGTATTTTTTAGTGATAATAAATAAATACTATCAATGATAATGTAGTAATTTATTCAACATCCAATGACCAAAATTTTTCACAATATAATTTAAATACTTAATATTGAAAAAAACCTTTCTCCATGCACTATGTACACTACTGTAAAATTAATTTTTAAAATTAAACTATAAAAAATGTTGATTAACTTAGGATACTTTGAAACTTACTTTTTAAAAATTATAATGTAAAAAAATAATAAAAGCATTAGTTAATTAAAATTAAATATTTATTGTTAAAGAAAAGTTTTGTTTAGCTTCAGTCTCCAATGGATTGCATACATTTTCATCCAATCCATCAGTTGCGTTGCCTCCCCGTGGGATGTAGGTCCTTGATGGACGAGGAGGGAAAACAAACATTCTGTTGTGACCGATGGATTTGTTCCGACAGCCCCTGCAGCACAAAGGGCTCCCTGATTACAGCATTGTTGCAGATGGAAAGTCTCCTGTAGCCCGCTATACACGGGGCCCGCTCTCATGCCGTGCAAATATGTTTTTTATTTTCAAACACCCCCTCCTCGTAGAGGGACACCCCTTCCGTGCCCAGCCTTACCGTTACACAATTGACACTTTAATCCCCTATGTGTACACCGTTGTATCGTGAGGGGGGAAAAGGGGTATGCGTAAAAAGGTGAGTTTAGTCACGGTTTCATATTTACTTTATGGTATTATAAACTGGGTGACGCATATAATAGGGCTTTGTGTATAGTGAGAACACCTTTCAGCATGAAATATTTATTTGCATGAAAAACTATATATGTTTTAAAAAACAATTAATATAAAAAATTAAAACAAAAAACTAAAAATTAATTTCAATAGTTGGTTCTATCACTTGTTATTTTCAACTATATATATAAAAGAAGAAGTAATTTATCATGCTTGACATATTTTTATCCAATATAAAATTATGATAACGACTACATTGATAATCAATTTGAATATTTTTAAAATAAATTAGGGTAAAATTGAATCATTTTATTTTAAGTTTTATTGGTGTTCATTGTAGGGCAGATGTAACTTTGATAAATGAACAAATACTAAATGAATCAGACTTTGATTACACGAGGGGAAATAAATTCAATGCTATACAAAACCATGAAATCTAGCATGGAGCACATGGTTACTAAAATGTAGCAGTGAGTTTAATCAAACAGGATACGGTTAGGGGTTCCTTGCTAAGGGGTGAGGAACAAAATGGCCGCTACCCTCCTGTCCAAGGAAGATTAATGGAGATACAGAGAATAATGGAGGCCCTCGCTTTGGGCGTTATGGCTGTTTTGAGTAATGGTCTGTGCGGGGACAATCGGAATCACGACTCCCTCCCGACAGATAGTTTAAATCTCAATCTCTAACTTCCTCCAGCTTCCTTTGCCTCTTCTATAACAATTAACTATGGTCTGTTCATGGAAAGGTAAAATTCTAAAGAAGTGCCAAGAACAACCTACCAGTTTCCAAATCAACTGTGTACGAAACTCCATTCAAACGGTCTTTATCATCTTTTTCCTCCTTGTCTTCTTCGTCTTCTTCTTTTTTAGTTTTCTAAAAAAAACAAATATAATAAAGGTTATTAAAAGTTTGGCCATAAAAATAGGATAACCAAGTTTGTTAAATAATAAAAATTTAATGAACACTAATGTTTTTACATAAAACATGTCTTTGGTTACATTAGAAAATTTTATTATATATTTTTTAGATCTTATTTTATTCTAAAAACTTATTCACAAAATTATTTAAATGTAATAATAACTATTAGTGACATCGTAAGTCAACAATAAAGCTACATTAAATAGAAATAAACAAAACTGATCCAGATAATAGTAAAATAGTAGATATCATGGTAGACAGAAACAGCTCGGGATGAGGATAGGTAAGCCCAGAGCAGTAGGAAAACACTAGTCATGATGACCAAGGAAGAGATCTGTTTGGGTGCCTAAACGCTCGCCTGTCAAGGATCACTTACTCTTTTATTAATGGTTTCATTATTCCAAACATGATCTAAACAGCTACATAATAAAAGCCTGTCCACAAATTGATTAAGGTATAACTTGTCTTTTTTACTTTTAATCACTAATGAAAAATTTATTAATCACAGATAAAAGTGAGTGGTTATGGTCATAATTATTACTTTTTCTGCTTTTAAGTCCAATGATGTGAAATAATTATTCTTTACCAATTTTCATTTTTTAAATTTGTTCTGATAATTTTTCAGAGAGAGACAGAATCACTTTATTATCATAAAAGGGTGCTGCCCAAATAAAAGATTTTAGGAATTATTTTTCTAAAAAGATTCAAATATCATAATAGAAATGTTAAAAGTTTTCAGGGAGGTGCATTCAGCAAGGAATTTCAGTTAAAAACTGTTCAGTTAGAAACTCCTTGCTGAACGCACATCCCTGAAGAACACCTGCAAAGTCGGGGCGAAACGTTGGGTTAAAAGTTTTCCGAATCTCCTCTCTTGTTTGCAAATATTTTGAAGGAAGATTGACATTGGTTTGATATGATGGATGACTATGAACTTTCGCTCCTATATAAGGCATTATTAACCAAATCATGCTTATTATATCGGTCTATTTTTTGTTAATGTGCCCCACCGATAGGTGCCATACAGAACTTGAAAGCACCAGACTGATGGATGTGTGAAAGGTGTGAGAGAGAGGGAGCGATGGGCGGGGGAGTGGCCTCTACCTTTGTGCTTCTCCTTTTCTCCTGGCTCCCTCTAGGAATGTGTGCTGTACTCCTCTTTTTCCCACGCACCCTCTCCTCCTTGCAATGGATTTTTTGAGCCATGTCCTCCACGACAACAGCTAGCGGTGGTGGGGGAACAAGGAATATTCCCCGCTTTCTATCCATTGTACTCCCCAAAGGCATACAGTTGTTTGTATAGCGGCCGTTCATTCAATATCCCTCTAATACAGAGGACATGGGAACTCTTTGGACACCTATAGGAGAGCGTGAAAAAAACTGATGTCTTGACGTTTCAAAAAGAGAAAAAAAAGTTGCAAAAATAGATGCAGGAAGTTTTTAAACATTTTCTACTAAAGAAAAAAGATTGTTCAATATTTTACTAGAATAAGAATATAAAATGATTGATGAGGAAAACACTACTAAATAGGATGATTAAAGATTAGATTTGTTTAATTCATTGAAAATATATAAATTAATGTTGTGTTAATTATTCTCCTGAGAATAAGCAATTCAGTCAACTTAGAAGAAAAAAATACAGTTTATTTCACTACTGAGAGGTAAAAGTTGACATCGTCTTCATAACATAAAAATAGCTCAATTGGATATAAAAGTGATGGGATTCATACATAACAATCTAAAGTTATAAGCTTACAAACCATTTTTGAAAAGTGATGGAAACTTTGAAACTGCTGCCCGAGGAGTTCGAATTGTTATCTTGTGCCCTAATTCATTCATGGAGCAGCAGATACTGTGCAATACATTTAAACTTTAAAAAAAAAAATTATGGATCTTGATATTTTACCAAAGGAAAATTTTATAGACATTTATTTTTTATTTATTTAAAGATTTGCAGGGAGATCAATCAAGTCTTCTCTCTTCATCTTATGCCGGAAATAGTCTTCATGCAGTTGAAGATCATTCGGAATGCTTCCGGCTAAGATCGGTACTGCCTCATGAGACACAATCTTGAATGATATAGTGACTGTCACAAGATGAGATGTAGTTTTTCTAAATATTTAGTATAGTATTAAAAATTAAATTACAACAAGGAAACCAAAAACAAACCACCGTTCAGACAAAAGTGGAGCATGGATGTGAGTACTTTAAAAAAGAACAAAGAAAATTATCATTGTATACTATTTTATTTACACAAGTGTATAAATGAAATAGTTTAGATTATAAAAATATCAAGTTTTAAACATTTATAAAAGACTAATGGACACATAAAAAGACAAGTATAATTGAATCATCCAGGGGCCGAGGTCAGACAGAATATAGCACTGTCCAGAAAGGCTATGCTCTGAGAAAAGGTAGATGTGTTGTGCTGTCAGCTGTGGGCCTATGGGCCCTGTCAACATCAATTAAGACGAGGAGGGCCGGAGAGAAGGAGCAAGTCATCGCGTGGCCTGGAGGGTGGACCATCATTTATCTCAACCACCAGCCAGGACCAGCATCTAATTCACTAAACCCTTCCCTCGATGCACCTCATTCCAACATCATCAACAGGAAAAAGGCTGAATTAGCATAATTTGTGAGTCAATACAAAATAACTAAGCTCAAGGAGAACATTAATCTGATGCAATTAGAATGCATTCAAAATTGCAGATTGAAATGAAGTAGCAAACATTTTTAGTTACTTATTTTGGTATGCTGAATGTTTGAGGACCATTATATAGTTGCAAATGGGGGGAGGAGAAAAAATATTGATATAATCTCCAATTTCTATTTTAATCTGACTAATTTTTAAAACTAGTAGAAAGAGTTATGAATATATCAAAAGATCTATATAAGATTAAGATTGAAATTTGTAATTTTATAAAAAATATGTGGATCCGGATTCAATATTTTTTTTTTCTCACTACTATGCTCAAGAATATTTCAAAGTAAAAAAGAATATTTTTTATAAAGAAATTTTTAATAATTATTTTTATTCACCAATAACATATTTTGCTCTTTTGCTTTATCCGTACATGCCAAGATTAAAACATTGACAAATTAAGGAAATCGCATTGGTAGGTGAAATGGGTGATAGAAACTTGTCAAGCAATTAAGGAATATCATATACTACTACTAATGATATACATAATAAGAAATAGTAATGGGAAAAAACACTAAATATTTTGTTATAGTTTTAAAATTCGAATGTTTAGATTATATAAAAAATATTTTAAATTTTTCTTCCATCTTGTAAATAAGTTAAAGATTGCGTACATATATATTATCTCTATTAATGATTGCCCATAAATATGGTAGATTACGATGTTCAAAACAGAATAAAAAGAAAAAAAAAAAGGTTATAAGCATCATTTAAATTAATTACATTGATATACTTTAATGTAACTGTATACCGAAGTCTGGTATTTTAGTTTTGTAAATTACTTATTTTGGTGTTTTAAATACTTCAGTAGGAGATATAAGCTAATTTTAAAAAATATTAAAAAAATGAAAGAAAACACATAAATGAAATTTTATTTTTCTTGAGCAACTTTTAGATTTGTTTCTAAAGTAACCATAATAAGAATTATTTCTTAACAGGAACATTTAAAGATTAAGAACTTTTGAGGTAGTCACTATCAGAGGTTGAAGAGAATTGGACCGGTTACTTGCACTAATATTGCTCGGCCTTCTGCTCAGATATAATTGGGTCAATGCTGAAATTTTTTAATGAGTCACCACCCTCAATAGGCATCTTAAGGGATAATATTTACCTAATGCTTTCCAACTGAGGTCACAAGATATAGAAAGGGATCAACAAACCAAAGTATAAATATCTGTTAAGTTCAAAACACAAACTATATATTAAAAATTAATGATTCAATCCTGGTTACCTTATCTTTTGAATTGAGCTTGTCAGGAGGTAAAGTTATCTTTTCTTTCTTGCTCAGGAGCGGCGAGGAGTCATCTTTTAAAGGGTTTGTATCGTCATCAGCAGCTGATGCACTTTCTTGCCATTCTTGTATTGAAAAGCCCATGTCAACATCTTGCTTCCAGAGGACCTCAATGAGATCCATGTCCTGTTAAGAGAATTTGAAAACATTAGAATATGATAAAAAAGGAAAACTAATATATATATATATATATATATATATATATATATATATATATATATATATATATATATATATATATATATATAAAAAATAAATTAATCATCCTAATAAATGCAATGTTAAGCTATTATATGCAAATAATAATTAAGATTTTAACTTGGTATTGGTTATAATTATTTATAAATAATAGGAAATTGTTTTAAAAACACCGACAAAAGTATATTGTAAACACCATCTACAATATATTTAAATAATAACAAAAAAAAAATGGAAATTAAAAAAAAATTAATAAATTTTGCACAAGTAATAAACACAAAGCAACGCAAGAAAAACATTACTAATTAATCTGAAAACATTTAAAAATAAATTCAAGTATTCTTTAGAATAGAAAATAGAAAATAAAATAGTGGTTAGATTTTAATAAATATAAATAACAATTATAAAAAGAAAATTAATTTGATCACTAGAAGGTATTGTAAATAGCTTTTAAGTTTTGAAATACTTAAATTTACTTTTTAAAATCATATAAATAATTAGTTCTGTAATTTTTTAAATGTACAGAGCTTTATTTTTACTATCATTTAGGTATTGAAAATTTTTAACAAATATGAATTTCATTCCAAAATAAATTAAATAGTTATAAAATTTACATATTTTTGTTTTTGTTTATTATCTGGTTAACAAAAGAGTCTTAGTCCTTGCCCATCCCATAAAGAAATTCTGATTATCCATTAGTTTGCATGGATTACATTAATGTTAGATTATTAATTCATGGTGTTTAAGATCTGGTACTAAATAAAAAACAGATAGTTAAAATTATTATGTAAGAATAGTAAATATGTAAAATTACATCTGCTACATACAGTGTTTCAACTTTAGTAATATTTATAATTTTTAGGAAGGATGTGAGATGATCCAAGAAAACATCGAGATCTAAAAACCATGCACATTCCTCAATCAAATCATAAATGAATTTAATACCATATTTAGAGAGGTATGGCAGATCAGATTTTAGATATTTGATGTTAAGTTCAAGTTCCATAATTATTATTGTAGTAATTTTTGGTTTATTGAAAGCCATTCCACGGGAGATCATTTTCTTTCTTTTCTTTTTTTTTGCCGCTAGGCTCGAGAATGTACAAGCATGTAACGCTTTAAGACGCACGGCCACCACGAGGTGCAACTAAATACATAAAGTATTTTTCAGTAGAGTACACAGTGAAGTGTATCAGTGTGTCGGCTGGAGACACGAAGGCTTGCTTGCCCCACCACACGGACGCCCATTATTTGAAACGTTAACTTCAATTATCGATAGACAATAGTCAATGCTTATTGTTCACTAACTGCTCTTGCGTCACAGCCTCCATTCACTCATATCGCCATCGGATCCATCTTGCCAAGTAGCTTAAGTAGGACCCATCTGGGATTTTACTTAATCTATTAATAGACAACTTTGGAATTAATCAAAGCAGATAATAAACCCTTTTTAAAGAGCCCTTTTTAGGAGAGGAATGACTCCGTTAAAACTTCGTAAAAAAACAAAACAAAAAATATGAGTCATAATTAGGGCGCAGTCAATTTTTGGTAAGTTCAGAACTGACGGACGACACACAAAGTTTGGGCTGAAACATCGGCAATAATAGAACTCTCCCAAAACTGACTGCCTCCCTGATCATCTATCACCCATTTATGTAGGATAGTCGATAAACTTCCATTTTCATAAACTAAATTTTGTCGAAATGTTTACACTAGTTAAAATATAATGCAAACGGAAATTAATAGCTTAAATATATCAATTTTTATTTCGACGACTAAGTTAGAGAAAATAAATTGACTGATGGGTTGAAATTAATTTTTCCGAGATCTCAAAGAAAATTTTTAGGGCAATCCTGATCTCAAAAATATTTAATGAAACCTGATTACGAAACAATTAATCAAATTTTATAAAGAGACTGTTTTTCTTTTATATAAATCTATTTATTTTTTTTAAGCCCTCAAAAAACCCTACCCGAAAATCTAAATTAAATTAATTTCTCAATCATTAAAATATATTATATAAACTACAATAGAACAAATAAAATATAAATATTTCACTGCTAATTCCAATAACTGTGTCCAATCCTTAACACCGCAAGAGGTTTTAAACACTCGACGATTTCTCTTTAAATTTGTCATCAAATTAATAATTTTTCGGCAAAAAAATGTATATGTAGCAATAAATAATACAGTGAAAAAAGCATGCGTACCTTATTGAACGAAGGAGAAAAGAAAAACATACAATGCGGCTGAGAGAGGCAAGTTAAGAGACTTATGCACTGGATGAAAGACAAGAGACAACTGAATATTGATTTAAGTTTTCATTATTTTTCAAGAATGAGCGTCATTAGTATCATTTAAAAAAAGTCTTTTAAGTGGGTTGGGATGGTGTTCCATGAAACGCGAACGCCGAAAAAAATCCATAACAAAAGGCCCAACAATGAAATCTAAACCGTACTGGAACTTTAATTCTTCCAACGGTTTTTAAAATAATTATTAATTATCGTTATTTTTAAACGGAGATTATACCGAAAAGGAGGTACTTTTAAATCGATTAAAGAATATTTAAAAAACGTTTTATGATGTATTCCTATTTATCCGTAAATATTGTAACTTTTTAACATTAGTTCTCATATTATTTTTATTTAATTATTTATGTTTGTGATTTTCAACTTTCATAAGGCTACTCTTTTTCATTATTCAAAAACTTAAAATGTTTTTTTAAATGGTTAATTAATTAATTAACTGATAAATACTACCCTTTTTATTCCCCTGAAAAATGAAGCAATAAAATTTTGTTGATAATAAGAAATTATATTGCTTCATATTCTTTAAATACAAACGGTCTTGTAAATTAATTATTTATTTTATTACTGTAAATTCATACTTCAATTGCAAGAGTTCGAAGGAAAATCAGATCCGGGTTTTAACTTTTATTATATACTTTAATTACATATATTATGAAAGCTTCACAACATACATTATGGTATTATAAAAATATTACATCATAACAGAATAGGTTATAAAAGAAATGACAAATCTGGAATTTTCATGATTTTGAAAATCAAGCTAACACAATTTTATACTAATTTTTTTAATGATAAATGTCTACAAAAATATATAGCGTAAACAACGATTCTTTACACTTATGTAATTTGTTTTCTTTCACTAAGAATTGTATCTATTAAAAATTTGCCCAGAACAACTCCCAACTCGCATCGGTAAAAATTACACACATACCGTTTCCAAAATCAACGATTTAACTATATTATAGAATATTTGTAAGTATATATTGTGTGTACAAGTTGTATGTGTGTATATATATATATACACACACACACACACACGCAAATACAAAAATTAAGTGTGTATCTATGTATTTACAAAAATAAGCATATAAACAATGTCGGAATGGATATACAATTATTACGTCCAAACCACTCAAAAATAGTTGACATTATCTAGGAATAGTTTGAAGTAACTCTTATCTTAGATCATTACATGATGTTTAATTGAATTATAAATTATCATGATATGCGCCAACGAAATAATTTTATTGCGAAAAGTGTCAGTTTAAACCTTCACCTTCCCGTTTCGATAAGATGTAAATTGCACAGGCTATTAAACATCCCTAGCTACTGCTGATAAGAAATCATGAAAGATAAATTACAATAAAAACATTTCGAAAATGTTTTATTTACAATTCATTATATTATTTGCCAATGAGATGAATAGAGGGTTGCGTCATATTTTTACAAAATAAATAAAATAATCAGTATTTTGATAAAAAAAAGGAGGCACTAAATTGATTTAAAACTTTTTTTTTTTTTTAAGAACTTAAAGTGTTAAATAAATAGACGCACTAGGTGTAAAATTTTCGATTTTTTTCCTCTGTTGATTGTAATTATGACAGCAGATTAAATAATGCCACTTGTTAGATAACAACATAAGATAAGATAAGGTAACTTAAGGTGAGGAGTAGGGAGGAGAGGGAGGGGGAAGTTTCTTCTGCTATAGTTGGAAATATACGAATCGTTACAGAAGTATTAAACGTGGCCCAAAGCATACTTGGAATTCACATTAATAAGTTCGTATTAAAAAAACAAACTATAAACAATCGAACTTTATCTCCATGAAATAATTCAAAATTTAGAAAACTAAAGCGTCGAAATGTCATTCATTCACATAGTCTGAACCCAACCTTCCCAACTTTGTAGAAGAGCTTTATCAGACCCTACAAGTCCTAATAAACATTTGGGACTCATAGTACGATTTAATTAAATGCTCACTAACAGTAAAATTTAATTATATGTTAATTTCATTAAATTAATTAAAGTTGATAATTAACTGAATTAATAACATAGAGAAAATAATCCATCTTATAAGTAAGAATAATTAGGATAAAAGAAGTTGAAGAAAGATATGTCTGGAAGTGTAATGCCATTTCTCCACCTCGTTAATTATCTATAATTTTTGCTGGTTCTATTTTTTCTTACTTCCAGATTTTTCACCAATTACAGGATAAACTAATATCTCAATTAACTTATCATTTTTCCTAATTTTTTTAAAAAAAAGGGGGAGGTTCATCATAGGAATCGTATTAATTATTTTGGTTATTCTTTTTACCTCAAATTTTTCAATATTGGATACACGTATCAACTTTTTAATAAAGGATAGTCCGGGGTGGCAGTCATAAATAGGCTAAATAGTGGCAAAACTATTTTATTAAAACCCAACGTTTCGACCCGACTTAGCAAGTCTTCTTCAGGGAGGTGCGTTCAGCTAGGAGTTTCACTTAGAACTGATGAAGGAAATTTTTGAATTAAGAGAATTTAATTGCATTATCTCTCTAATTTTTAAATTTAACAAAGTTTTTTTTTAAATTTAATAATGAATGTCGTAAATTGGATTTTAATGAGGGAGCAACATGAATACTATTAAACCGGTACTCGATACATTTAGAGAAGACTTGGTTTGATCTGCATTTTAAGAGGAAAATCCGTTGCTCAGTTTTTATAGTGAGTTGTTTATGGAGGTTGCAAAAATTATTAAATTTAGATTTATAATATGGATTTATGAATTTCTAAGTGAAACTCCTAGCTGAACACACCTCCCTGAAGAAGTTCTGCAAAGCCGGGTAGAAACGTTGACTTTTAATAAAATAATTTTGCCACTAATTAGCCTATTTATGACCGCCACCCCGGATCATCTTCCTTTATAATGCAACGGTCAACTATTAAATATTCAATACAACTTTTTAATAATTTTTAACTTTCTATCTGGAGGAATGTATGAGGCGCGTCCATATAATCCCTAATACAATCGTGACATTTTAGCAATTATTTTATTAAATAAACATATTTTTGAACGAAAACGAAAATTTAAAAATAAAGTTAAAAAAAATAATTCGTAAAAAAATTCGTGATTTTTGTTTGTTTTGTGAATTTTGTTACGATTTTTAGTTGTATTAAAAACGCAATGTTCGATTAAGAATAAATAATTAATAACTGGTTTATCAGCCACGATTCTATTAATTACAATTTTCTATCTCAGCAATTTTTTCTTTTGTAAATACGCATTAAAAGTAATATTCGCAGAAAAAGTATGAATATTAAGAAAAATATGAATTTTGTTACCGTTTGTACATTTTTTATCGCTGCCTACGTTATAACATTATAGAATATTGAATAAATGTATACCATCCGTTTCTGACAGAAAATTATAATACAACCCACGAACTACTAAGTAGCGATCATTGGTTGTCAATAATCAACTTATCTTGATCCAAAAGATATTTTCATCTTGTAATAGGTTTTCAAAGATCTTCAGATTGATTCTAAGATCAAAGATAACACATTTCAACGCTGAATCGATTATAGTTGGACGGTTTTGAAAATTATCTTTCATTTAAAGATTTTTGCAATACGATTCTAATCTAGGTTTCTAAACTGGACAAAACATTACAAAATAACTAACACAAATTAAAAATATTTGCCAAGTGGGGTCATGATAGCTTCCTCACCATTTAGGTTGGTTACATAATTATTTATATTTAAAGGCCTTTGAACCGCTTTTTGAACTCTATTTTTATCAAGAAATAAGGCACCACGCCTAAGCGAAAGAAGTGGACGAAATTTTATAAGATAAATATGAGACAATCTATCAATACTCGTAATTTATGAAACTTTTATCAAATCAAATTAAAGGTAGTAGGTGTTAAGTCTGACAAATGAATTCGAATACAGTAAAACATGCAGTTTAAAACCTATATTAAGTCCCATTACCCTAATTTTACTCCCTCCCACACATAACAGCCATTATATTATTTAAAATAATATTAATTTACACTGTTAAGTGGAATTTCATGGCATTGGTACTAGATCACTTACACAAAATTCACCGAATTTCCTACAACTTCGTGTTAAATTGAACGAATTGTTTTCAAATATTGGCGAGAAATAATACAGAAAAATAAATATGAGAATCCGTAAGCGAAAGTAGAAGATGTAATTTGAAATAATCGAAACGGAATAATTTTTACAATAATCCTCAAATTTCGTCCAGTTTAGGTCCAAATCGAAAGAGGCCATGTTAAACGATATAAGGAGGTAGTAACAGGTTTAGGGTTTTTAGAATTAACATGTATTAGACTAAATGCTCATATTTTTGGACTAAAAATAAACAATGATAGAATTATTTAATTTGGAAAAATATGTTGGATTTTCGAAAACCTGAAAAAGAACCAAGTTGCTCTAAAAGCATAGACTTGAATAAGTAGTCAAATTATTAAGGGCTTATCGATCCTTGAAGACACTGTATGCATTAATAATGTATAATTTTTACAATAATCCCCAAATTTTCTCCAGTTTTGGACCAAATCGAAAGCTTTTTTGGAATAAAAGCATATCGACAGAAATAAGCTTACGCAACTCCAGGCAATAGTAGATGGAATATGATGAAATTGAGACAGGACCATCTAGTTAGCGACCGGCAGAATTTTATCATAATCGGATATAGGTTCGTTGCTGATTTGACAGTCATACGGGTCTTACTACTTTCGGATACGGACACGGAGAAAAATTTGTTCATTTATTGTCTAAAACATAATACAAGAGGGGAAATTTTCAATTATAGTATAGTATATTATAGTAAATTTTTTTTTTTTAAATCCTGCATGAATATAAAGCTTGTCTACCTTCGGTATCGAAGAAAAAAACAAAACAGAAACATAATCATAAAT